GCATATCTTTAGCATCGGAAGGTTAGGTAAAGTCATTTGTTTTCATATAGTTTATCCTAATTTACATTGAAATACATTGCGTTTCAGCAAAACTACTATTTATTTCTAAGAATATGGAAATTTAATATTTTTGCTGAAATGACGTACGTATTACAGTGGAAAGTGGGATAAAATCATGACGAAAACAATGACTTTCGCTTTCTTTCGTAGTTCAAAAGATTTTACCGTAATCGCTTTTCGAATGGTTTTCAGTTAAAAAACTGTTGTATTACAATAATATTCTATCCTAATTCATTTGTGATGCAACAGTTTTTTAACTGAAGACAATTCGAAAAACACATGTACCGTCTAGCTGATACGGCAGAGCCCTGGTCGCGGAGGCTTTGTTTTTGCATCGGCCCTTCTTAAGCAGCCTTTAATTTTAGCGTACGTTGAAATTGTGTTTACTGGTATACAGTCAACCCTCACTTTACGCAGTCCCACATTCCGCGTTTCCACGTTTACAGGTGCCCTGCCAGAACCCAGGATGCTCACATTCCGCGGTGGGTGTACCCCTTTACACGGGTGAAGTATAATTTTTTATTTAGCTCATAAAAATCATACAAATTATCCGGCCAGAATATAATTTACATTGCTGGAATTCTTACAATTTGATGATCATTTTGAATATAAACATCATAGATTTTGCATTAGACATACAAATTTTAGATATAATGTTTACTCTGAGTAAATATGTTATCTTTTTGTGCAAAATATATGACATTTATATTCAAAATATTCCTGGTCTTACAAGGAATCCAGCAATGTCAATTATTATCCTAACTTTAGTTTGAGGTATTATTTATTAAAATTTAGTGGTTTTCCCCAAAAATTTCTCAGAGAGGGAAGAGCCAGCAGTGTAGTGTGAGAAGAGGGGGAGGGAGTTGAGTCCATTATTTGAATGGACATTAACTTGGCTGACTGTATTTCTCTTTTTTCTTAAGTATTAATTGTGTGCATGTACCATCATAAAATTAAGATATTATTTTTACTAGAACAGGTATTGTGTCGGAAAAAGTGGAGTTTGGGGATCGGGCCAGTTTCTATTGGAATTAATCCCATATGTTCTGTTGTTAACTTAGCTCGGTTTTCACTTAACACGGTACCCTGTGGGTTTTATTGACGGCGTTAAGCGGGGTACTACTATATATATATATATATATATATATATATACATACATATATAAACAGCTAAACCCCGACTTACGACGGGGTTAGGGACCCAAATCCAGGTCGTAAGTCCGAGCATAGGTCTTTTTACTAATAAAAATCTACAATGAAATACAGTACAGTAAAAGTAATGATGAATGATGAATGGATACAGTACAGTGAAAGTAATAAATAATAAGGAATGGATACAGTGTGACTGAGCACTTAACCTTTAATGTAGTCAGCTGAATGCACATGGGGCCCCCATAATTTTCTAATTATACATGGAGACTACATTAACTGGAAACGTTTCGGTATAGAAAATGCGTAAGTCCACATAGTCGTAAGTTGGGGTCTAGGTGTATATATATATATATATATATATATATATATATATATATATATATATATATATATATATATATATATATATATATATATATATATATATATATATATATATACAGTTGGTCCTCACATTACGCGGTTAATGTAACCTGGAGGGTCCCGCGGAAAGTGAGGAACGCGTAAAGTGAATAACATAACATATGGGATTAATTGAAATGGAGTCCAGGCCGATCCCCAAACTCCACTTTTTGACGACACACAACTATGTTGTAGTAAAAATATTATCTTAACTTTATGATGGCATGCACACACAATTAATAATTAAGAGAAATATCAATAATATTAGGTTTTTTAACACTTACATTAGTAGAAAAGATGGCTGGGCACACGGGGATGGGGGGTTGGTTCCGAGGCAGAGGGCAGATTATTGGCCCTCACCTGTATCACTGGTATCAATTGTATCACTATCCACCACAGAGGCTTGCAGGGCCTCTTTGTTAAACCCCTCAAAGTCCATATAAGTCCATATCCTCACCATAATTATCACTATCACTGACTTGGGCCGGTTGTGGTGGGTGGCGGGTAAAGAACTCGGTAATGTTTTGATGACTGGGCGGCCTTGTGCGCACCATTTTCGCGCCTCTTACACAACATGGCGGATGGCGGGAGGTTTGGATCCAAAAATGGCGCGGCTTGCCAGCCGCTCTCCGCGTAATGGCGTTCGCGACCGCGGAATGTAAGAATGTTAGGTTCTGGCAAGGCACCGCGTTAACGGTGAAACGCGGAATGCGGGACCGCTTAATGTGAGGACCAACTGTATATATATATATATTATATATATATATATATATATATATATATATATATATATATATATACTCTATTGAATTTTATAAATATTTGATGTGCTATAATTATGGATATACTGTTCCCATGTTTATTGAGGACTATAATAGGAGGAGACAGGAGAGAATATGGTGATGAAACCTACCCGTCAGTCTTACTGTACTGGAGGGCGAAGTTCAAGAGGGCTGGAGTAAGGGTGAGCTGTTCTTCTCCAGGCATCTTCAGGCTCCCACTCAATAGTGGGAAAGTGGCTGGGTTGGGCTTTCCTGCCCCGAGACTTATCATGTCGTTCATTTCCATATCATCTGTTAACCACGCACACACAACTCTTAAATCTCATGTCATTTATGATGGGACTAGGAAGGTTTTATTTACAATTATATTACACTATATTAACTAAAGTTAATTGTAAAGATATATAGCTCCTCCCCAACTTACGACCTACTCGACTTACGACCACTCGCACTTACGACCTGCTTCAGTCGTACCAAAATTTTCGTCAAATTACGTATTTTTGAGTCCCAACGTCAGTACACAGAGAAAATTTTTTTTTGTAATTCACTTTTAAATGGCTAGCAAGCTTAAAAGTGAGAGTTTTGATGCTGAGAAGAAAAAGAAACACCCATTTTAGATTTTCTAGGTACCTGTATTAATTAAGCATTTTTGACTTAAGACCATTTCGACTTACGACCTGGATTTGGGTCCCTAACCCTGTCGAAAGTCGGGGAGGAGCTGTATATGTTTTTTTCTGGTACCAGTGCTAGCTGCCATGATTCTATTGTTGGCGTGTGCTGACATTATTATAAGGATAGCACTGTCTTAATCCTGACACTTGGTTTGGCATGTGTTTACTGTAGACTACTGTATAGCCACATTTTCATGTGGCAATTTTACCACTCGCACTAGGTGCAAACCGGTATTGCAGCGTTCACTTGCTACACAATTTTGCTGGTCTTTACTAGTCTAACTTTACCTGCTCGAAGGCAAACTCGGACTAGGGTTCGCTTTCGCTGATGCACTGTAACAAAGTTGGGGAAGTAAGGCAGGAACTACTCGTGACCAGTGTTAACAGCAACAAAAATGGCTGCTCTAAAGATTCAGTCCGTGTATTAAAAGTTTTAAAAAGGTTTTAAAAAAGCAAAATAGGATAGTTATTGATATATGTCAAATATATAAAATATTCATCTGCTTGTTCCTGTGAACTGTAATTTTAGCAGCAAAGATTATGAAGTCATCTAGTTTATTCACAAATAAAGTGTTAGTTAAAATTAAATAAGGAGCACTTGTATTAGAGGTCTCCGAAGAAGCTGATACAGTATACAGTATTGAAGTGAATAATTGAATAGATATTTATTTTATGCCCACTGTGGCATTAAAATTTTTTAAATATTTTCCCTGTACTGTATATCTTTAGTGTTTTCTTTGCAACTTAGAGGTTAAGATTCGCTGTCCATTTGTTTACAGTTGTTTCTGATGCTCCTCCCACTCATCTGCCCAATCAATATGACAAAAGAACAGAATGAAACCTGTGGCTCATGTATGCATATAGATCAGCTGGGATGTTATTTAACTCTTTTAGTACAAAGTCCTCTGTCACAGTGTATAGTTCAAGAGTAAAGTATCTGGAGTGATATATGTATATATAATAATGTAATTGACACTTTTGTAAGGGGGTATACGTAGGATGAATAATAACCATTTGGATAATTGGATAAGCACCAGCATATTTATTTGGTATTTTTTTGACAATATCTCTTGTCATCATCAGACCTAAAACATGATATAAGATACAATACCATCAATGTTAAAACACCCAATATGACAAATAACATTATTTACAGCATTGTGTACAATAAATGCCTTATGAAAACATTTTAACATATTGAATTATTAATTGCTAGAGATTAATGCAGTATGTTTAAAATTAAAGAGCAATATCACAAAGAGTAGCAGCAGAGGTTTCTGCTACAATTTGCAATTTTTCATAATTGTTTTTAATATTGATGCTTTTTATTTTATTTTATGTTTTAGGTCTGGTGATGACAAAAGATATTGTTGAAATATTCCCAAATAAATGTTGCTGTTTACCACTCTATGTATGAACACATATACTGTACTACTGTACTTCTATCTGTCACTCTGTCTTACAGCTTGTCAATTCATTTGTATAACTATCATTTTACTGTATGTCAATATCCTTCAGCTCTTGTGCCAGTTTATTCAGTTCATCTATCACTCTACTCGGTTCTCAATATCTTTCATTCTCTCCTTCAACTCCTCCATTAATTTATCCAGCTATCAATATATTTTTTAGCAATTTCAACCTGTCTACTCACAAAGCTTCCTAATGGAAGACCCTTCGGATCTCTTGCCAATATCATTGAGGAACCTCGAGTAAGCCATCCTGCAAGTAGAAATATATCAAGGTAGGTAAATAAATGAACATTGGGTATTTCCTGATGAGTGGTAGTATTGTACTGTATAGGGGTACTTCATCATTATCAATTTGTTGTTTGTGATAATAATACGAATATCAAAGTTGGCTTAATTACACTTAATTTAACTGTTACAGCATACTGCTTTATTCCTTCTTTCCTATATACTACACTCACCTTCTTTCTTAACTTAAAGAGAAGGGAAGAGCAGAGGTGGAAGCGAGGTTAGGAGGAGGATCGAGAAGGTGGGGGGGTGGGGGTGCAGTTAGGCGCCCAGACCTCCCTCGCTCTGAGCTGAGAGAGAGGGAATGGGGGAGGGAAAGAGGGGAATAATAAATGGATGAATGGATGAACCTTGGGTAATTGGTGTACTAGTCACTAATTCATTACATCACACCGATCATAGGAAAAGATGTGTAAAAGGAGGATTAATAGTCACTCCTCACTGATTCGCTCCATAAATATGATGGCATGTATGATACTGTCTTTTTACAGTTAGGTTCATTTCATTTATGTTCACATGTTTATAATCACTCAGTAGGTATTTTCACTTACTTCATTTAAATCAAGTTACAGTACTCCTCTGTCAACTTTCAACTCAAGACGAAGGGGGTGATTGAGAATGTTGGACCTGTAATACAGTAGTAGTTATTGGATGCTACTACTATAGTATGCATCTATTGGGATATTTATGCTATAGGTTAGTTTAGGTTAATGTATGCTACAGTGTAGGTAAATATCCCGGTAGACCAACTCCAGCTTGGTCGACTATTGATGTTGTGATGCAAGATGGTACATGTAATTTGTGAGGTTGGCCAAACTTTTCTACTGGGTGGTGGAGTTACAAGTCTAACAAGAAATAACCCTGACTGGTCTTTGTAAATGAAGATTCATTACCTGTACAATATAAGGATATACTCTACCCACATAGTTGAGTTAAGTTCACACACATAGACACACTAGAAAAACTCTCAAGCTCGACCATAATTAGAAACCTGCACGTAATGACGGCTTGGGTGCAGATTATCAAAGGATAGTGCAATGAACATTCTTCACAATTGAAACAAAACTCGCTGAATAGCATGAATATCAACTTACACTGAGTCTCTTCTGAAAAATGTAGCTATGAACTTGACTGGGAATCTGCAGTAAAACTTGAGTTGTCTATAAGCAGACAAGCCTTGCTGATAACGTATGATGTAGTGGAGGGTACTGCTGCAACTGATCTTGTGAGTGTCCTCAACCACTTGAGGCTTGCACTTTATGATATGAGTTTGCCATCTTGAATATCTTGTCCTTATTTTGGCCAAACAATTGTTGCTGTCTTATATAATCTCGAGTTGTTGTGAGGAATTTTTCAAGGTCAGAGGGCCAGATTGAAATTGTAAAAATTCTCCAGGGCTACCTATTATTTTCAATATTAATACAATAATAATTTATGTAGAGTTAATGGATATGACCACTACCCTGGAACATCATCACAATGTAGATCCGCTTTTACAGTATAATACAAGTTAATCTTATAATAGTGCGTATAGCCTCTAAATCATTTTATATATTTGAAAGACAAAATTTTATTTGTTTATTTATTTATTTTATTTTTTGGGTGAGGGATTTTGGGGTGATTGACAAGATATTTGCAGCTTTATGTAAAGGGTTAATGTATGAAAAATTATTTTCCATAGAAGGGTGATGATGGATGATTATGGTTAGTATAATGAATTTAATGCATTAGATTTCACTTGATAATGGATGTTACTAAACCTGTATATTGTACTGTATATGTGTGATGCAGCAGTACTAAGTCAGAACTGAAAAAGAGTAAGTCTGTTGGTATACTTATATGACCTTATTTTCAGGAATTAACTGACAATTGACTTGCATCTTTCAAGAGCCAAGATGTTTCGACAATGTGCACATGCTGGTGCAGCTGTAGTCAGCAGGACACTTCAAGAGCAGGCAGCTTGGAAAGTGTTTGTTACTTCGCATCCCAGACCAAAATACTCTGTATGCAGACAAGAATACAGATTTAAAACAAATTTGTCATCCAGCACAAGATCTTTTGCCACCTTACCATTGGAGGCACAAGTACAGTACAATATATTTTTTTGAGATACTGTGTTTGGGATAAAGTACAGTTGGCCCTCAATTTACACAAGAGTTATGTTTTTGAAAAACACAGTGCAAATGGAACCCATGTAGAATCATATCAAGGGCCTATGAAAAATAGGGGTTAGGTTCCAAACTCACAAGATTCCTCATTCATCCAATAAGTTAATACACATGCAAAAGATATTAAAGTTATCAGTTTTATAATACATGTATAGGACTGTGTTTAAACTTGCTACTGATCTTTAGTGATGATAATGATAAACTTGATATGATGGTAATTTTGGTGTTAGCACCTTATGTTTGGTGTTGCCTTTGAGCTGAATAAAATTATCCGCCGTTAGCCAAATAAATATTAAAAGTGGCATCCCGTAGTGAAGGGGTTAAAGTCAGAAAAGTAATGATACACCTGAGCAGACTTGGGAGTGTTGGGTGGTATTGTGTGGGGAAGAATATAGTGAAGGCAACAGTACTGCCAGTGGTAGTATAGTAAGTTCTCGCTTAACATCAGGCTTACGTTCTTGAAAATGCAGCGTTATACGAAACAACATTAAGCTGATCAATTTTCCCTATAAGAAATAGATAAAATACGGGAGTTACTTTCCCCCAGCCACCCTTTGCCCCCAAAAAACATTACATATACAGTGAACCCTCGCTTTACGCGGTTTCACTTTACGTATTTCTACATTTACACAGTACCCTGCCAGAACCAGAATTCCCACTTAACGCGGTGCATCTACTCATATACGCGGGTGAAGTATAATTTTTTTATTTAGCTCATAAAATTCATACAAATTATCCGGCCAGAATATAATTTACATTGCTGGAATTCTTACAATTTGATGATCATTTTGAATATAAGCATCATAGATTTTGCATTAGACATACAAATTTTAGATCTAATGCAAGTATTTTGTTTACTCAGAGCAAATATATTATCTTTTGTGCAAAATAATTGAAGTGTATATTCAAAATATTCCTGGTCTTGCAAGGAATCCAGCAATGTCAATTATATTATCCTAACTTTAGTCTGAGGTATTATTTATTACTAAAAATGTAAATATGCTGTTATAACCCAATCATTTCTCTGGTAGGGGGGGAAGGTGGGGGTGAGGGATAGGGAGGGAGGGAGGGACCCAGGGAGCAGGTGGGAAGAGGGGGGAGGTGGGGTATTTTGATTGACAGATAGTATTTCGGTAAGTATATTTTGTTTAATTATTGAAGATATTTGTTTTATCTCATAAAATTCATACAAATTTCCAGGCCAGAATATAATTTACATTGCTGGACTTCTTACAATTTGATGATCATTTTGAATATAAACATCATAGATTTTGCATTAGACATACAAATTTTAGATCTACTGTAAGTATTTTGTTTACTCTGAGTAAATATGTTTTGTTTTGTGCAAAATATATGACATTTATATTCAAAATACTCCTGGTCTTGCAAGGAATCCAGCAATGTCAATTATATTATCCTAACTTTAGTCTAAGGTATTATTTATTACTAAAAAGGTAAATATTCTGGTTTCTCCCACACATTTCTCTGGTAGGGAGGGTTGGTGGGGGGTGGGGGGGAGGGAGGGACCGACTGACCATCTGGCGAGGTTGGAAGAGGGGGGGAGGCAAGGTGGGGTACTTTGATAGACAGATAGTGTCGTGAAGAATATTTTTTTTTATTATTAACTGAAGATATTTGTTTTAGCTCATAAAATTCATACAAATTACCCGGCCAGAATATAATTTACATTGCTGGAATTCTTACAATTTGATGATCATTTTGAATATAAACATCATAGATTTTGCATTAGACATACAAATTTTAGATATAATATTTACTCTGAGTAAATATGTTATTTTTTGTGCAAAATATATAACATTTGTATTCAAAATATTCCTGGTCTTACAATGAATCCAGCAATGTCAATTGTATTATCCTAACTTTAGTTTGAGGTATTATTTATTAAAATTTAGTGGTTTTCCCCCCAAAATTTCTCAGAGAGGGAAGAGCCAGCAGTGTAGTGTGAGAAGAGGGGGAGGGAGTTGAGTCCATTATTTGAATGGACATTAACTTGGCGACTGTATTTCTCTATTTCTCTTAAGTATTAATTGTGTGCATGTACCATCATAAAATTAAGATGTTATTTTTACTAGAACATAGGTATTGTGTTGGAAAAAGTGGAGTTTGGGGATCGGGCCAGTTTCTATTGGAATTAATCCCATATGTTCTGTTGTTCACTTAGCTCGGTTTTCACTTAACACGGTACCCTGTGGGTTTTATTGACCGCGTTAAGCGGGGTACTACTGTATATTGTATTTACATGCACAAAATCATGTTTTCCCCTACAAAACCTCTTTAAAATCACTTTCAATAATTGTATGACAAAACTTACTAAAAAAAAAAAAAATCCTTGTAAATTAAGGGTGCATCTTATGCAGTGGTGCATCTTATATGCCGGCAAATACAGTTATCAGTTTTCACCAAAAATAAAAATAAATAAATGCACAACCACAGATGAGTTATTGTGTGGTACAGTATTAAATTCCCAATGTTTTGTTTACATACTGTGGTCATAACCAGCCCAATACCTGCCTGTCTCAATGATGTATTGGCTTAACCCACAAGATGATTATGTGAAAGGAAGGAGCTGTTTATGTAATGCAGTTATTTTTTTTGCAATATCTATGGGTTATTGTATTTTTTTTTGCTTTGAATACAGTGTTTATTGTTTATTAAAGCAGTTTTGGAACAGTTTATGGGTATTTTTGTCAACCAAAATAATTATTTCCATTTAAATCAGTTTAACTATAATTTGCAATTGATAATTCATGATGTCTTCTGAGACCTAATCCTCAAATTATTGCAGCTCCACTGTCTCATATTTTTCATTACTGATAAGAATATTCATTAAAATCTTCTCCAGACATTCCTGTTGCTGTGTATGTCAGACACTTGAAAAAGCTTACTTCCATGTCTTTTCACTATTGTTCAAATCTATCATTACCCTTCACCATTACTTCTATAGTTTGTTCACTCAAAGCTTGCAACTGAGTCCTAGGGTCAGTTTGTAGCAAGGCAGCTAATTGGTTGGCGGATGGACACCTGAAGAATCACTAGTTCTTCAGAGCAATTTTTAATCTTATCATATTTTTACTATAATATTTCAAGGGATAATAACTTTACTGTGTTGAACTCTGATAATTTCTGCACTTCGGGAAGCAAAAAATACTATGTAAAATGTTCCGGTAACATAAATATCTTGACGTGAGCAAGAAAAGGAGTACAAAATTTCAGCAACATCCTCCACCGCACTGTGTGAGGAATTAATGTCCCAGAATTTCTTCATCGTGTTTTTGTTCTTTCTATGACTACACAGCAACAGAAATGTCTGGAGAAGATTTTAATTGTGTGCATGTACCATCATAAAATTAAGATGTTATTTTTACTACAACGTTATGTGTCTTCAAAAAGTGGAGTTTGGGGGTCGGGCCGGTTTCTATTGGAATTAATCCCATATGTTCTGTTGTTCACTTAACGCGGGACCCTCTGGGTTCTATTGACCGCATTAAGTGGGGTACAACTGTACTCTCATATTTTTTAGTGCACTCCTACTTACTTCACTTTTTTGAAAACCAATAATTAAATTTCTCTTGTAAAGTGTTTAAATTTTCATCAACTTGGTTGTCTAAAGATGATACATACCAATAAGTTGTAATTCTTTTTCTGCTTCTCATACTCATGGGTAACACCTTATTAGTTGATAGGTAATCATTAATGCATTATAGAAAGATTATGTTTGTGCTGGTGAATACTGTGGATTTTTTCAGGTTGTAGTTTGTGGAGCTGGTGTGGTTGGTAACAGCATTGCATATCATCTGACTCGTGAAGGTTGGACTGATGTTGTTGTGCTGGAACAAAATGAGTGAGTAGTATTCTCTTACTGGACTCTGTTGTTTAATGAAATAGTACTAAAATACACTGTACATTGTGTGATATGAGAGTCCTTTTTAGCTTATTGTAATATGGAAAGTCACACTACCTTTGGACTAGAGGCTGTTATAGTGCAGTGGAATTAATGAAAAATTCTACTCATATCAGCTGGTCCTTTAATTTCAGCGTAGTTTTATGTTAATACAGGCGTACTGTCTTGTATTGACCATTAATTGATACCTAGTACATGTATTGTATACAGTAGAATGGCCCATTTTCATTAGAATTGAAAGCAAAAGATCAGTTAAAGAAAGGCCAAAGTTTGAAAGGATTTTGTATGTCATTCTTTCATTTTGTTTATAGATGATCGAGTGTGCAAATTCTTAAACATAATACAGTATAGTAATGCAAATGCTAGAAAGTTTAAGTCATAATTGTCTGAATTTTGCACAGTATTATGAATTTATAAAAGAAGCACTCAGAAATATAACAGTTTGGAAATGGTATACCGTACAGTATATATATTTTTTTTTAGAAATTCAAGGATTGGATAACTGATTTAAGGAAAAAATAATAATTATTGCTGGTACTGTATGTAAAATTTTACTTTTCTGTTATTTTACCTTTTGACAGGATAGGATCTGGGACATCTCACAACGGCTCAGGTGTCTTGGGAGTGTTCAAACCATCAGCAGAGAGGCAGATTGTTACCTACTCTGTCAATCTAATTAAAAAACTCCAGGATGAGGGTTATAATTTAGGTTACTGGTATTTGATTATGTTTTCTGTGTATGATTTTACAGTGAAGCAGTAAGGCTGCATTGTAATTTACTCTTTTACATTTTGCAACATATCCAGTCATGATTATAATATAATCATGACTGGATATTATCCTCATACCATTTCTTAGCCCTTTTCCTGTTTTTGTTTTGTTTTTTTCCCTTGATTTAGTAACCATAATTTTATTACCGTAGTTATACTGTACAGTAAATTGTTCCTTTTATTTTTAATTACATTAACAAGACATTTTAATTATTTTTTTTTTATCTATTTTTCTGTACATCAACTGAGGTAACAGTTCTATGGTGAAGGGAGCCAATATGTCCCACCATTACATTACCTTACAATCACCATACAGTACACTCAAGCATAAACTACACACAACAACTGTTTCTTAATTACAGTAAAATCCAGGTTTCATAGACTGTATCTATTGGGGTAGAAATTGTAGTTATGAATGGTATTGGTCCCTTGACCCCTATCTCTTACTATGCTATTGTATAATGGATTTGCTGTTGCAGGATTTTGACCACTTTAGGGACACAACTCATAAAATGAGCATTTACTGTAGCCTTGGAAACTGACATGAGTCTGTTGCTTTGAATGGCTCTGGATATGCAAGAAGTAAAGAATTAATTGCATTTTATAGCCATATCTTTTACTTCAGAAATATTACATTTGCTATAAAAAATTATTGTATTATATATACACCTTCATAATTACACTTACTAGCCATAACATTATTGTACTCACTTAGGTTTCACCCAGTGTGGTAGTTTAAACCTGGCCCAGACGAGGGAGAGAGCCATTGCTCTCAAGCGTAGGCTTGCTTACACAAAACCATCAGGCCTAGAATGTGAGGTAGGTCAATCCTGATGTATTTTCACCTATTTTTTTACTGTACCTTTCTTTAATTAAGTTGAAATTATCCTAAAATGTGAGTTTTATCTAGGAATATATACAGTCAACCCTCGCTTTACGCGGTACCCTGCCGAACACAGAATGCTCACTTTTCGCGATGTGTGTACCCTTTTACGCGGAGAGCGGCGCGAGCAGGGTGCGCACAAGGTCGCCCAGTCATCAAAACATAACCGTGTTCTTCACCCGCCACCCACCACAGCCGGCCCAAGTCAGTGATAGTGATAATGATAGTGAGGATATGGACTTATATGGACTTTGAGGGGTTTGACAAAGAGGCCCTGCAAGCCTCTGTGGTGGATAGTGATATAATTGATACAAGTGATACAGGTGAGGGCCAATAATCTGCCCTCTGCCGTGGAACCAACCCCCCATCCCCGTGTGCCCAGCCATCTTTTCTACTAATGTAAGTGTTAAAAAAACCTAATATTATTGATATTTCTCTTAATTATTAATTGTGTGTGCATACCATCATAAAATTAATAAGTTATTTTTACTACAACGTAGGTATTGTGTCTGAAAAAGTGGAGTTTGGGGGTCGTCCCGGTCTCTATTTCAATTAATCCCATATGTTATGTTGTTCACTTTATGCGTTTCTCACTTTACACGGGCCGCCGTGGGTTCAATTGACCGCGTAAAGTGAGGGTTCACTGTACAGTGATATCCCCGTTAGCCTTAACAATTGGTGCAGAGCACTTCCAGGGATGAGAGATTTCCGGCTAACTAGATGACTTTCTCAAACCCGGAAAAATTCCTTATCCCCGGAATCTTTTCCGGTTATTGGGAAAAGTTTACGAGAGTCTAAATTAAACATCTTGCACAGACGGACAGTAGACCACTTCCCCAGAACATATCTGAGTTTTGAGGATGTTTTCCTTGAGTCTAGACTACCAGAGTCCATAAATGCAGTTCTAATGAAGTTACAAATTCCATTTCTTTACTATAATAATCCAGAATAGTTTATCTAAAAGTTTGGTTAAATAAATATATTTAAAAATTAGAAATTTATAAGATTTGGGTGTGAATGTAGCTGTGTGTTACAGCAAATACTTATTTTTCCCTCCCATGGAGCTGTGGGGAATTAGTGGGTCTCGTGTAACTGACCTGACCTGGCACAATGTCAGGTGGAGGTAGGGTGGAGGATTAGTAGTCTCATATTACTGACCTTCAGATGGAATGTCAGGTCACCCTTTCTTGGGTGGGGAAGTAGCGGGTCTCATGACTGAAGATGTCTTGAATAAACATGAAACCTAAAGTATTTTTAGGGAGATTGTGATAAGTAAAAGTATAAATGAGCAAAGTTCTATCCTTTCAACATTACGTTACATAACTTTTTAAAATATGGAGTGAGAAAGCAGAAAATTGTGGGTAATTAGAGAGAAGGAGTGGAAATGAGTGTTGTCAAGCGCTCCTCAACAGCTGATATTTTACTCGCTACCACGCAGTCACACACACACAAATGTGTCATACAATAAGACCCGCACTCCTCATGCTTGCTGTCTTAATTCCTTTGTTAGAGGTGTGTGTGTGTGTGTGTGTGTGTGTGTGTGTGCGCGCGTGCGTGCGTGCGTGCGTGCGTGTAATAATAATAATTATTAACGGTTTATTGAAAGAGCTTGGCAGCCAGAAGGCTGAAAATATACAGTTACATATTTGGGGAATGGGTTTCGAATTACAAATAATATACAAGTAACATAAGTGACACAAATAAGATATATAATAACTAGATGGGGAAAAGCTCAAACTACAGTTCATTTCAACATAGTGACAGTGCAAGGAGTAGTGTTTAATGGGAGTGAATACACTGGTTTATTACAAGTTACCGTATATCTCGGCTTATAAGACGGAATTTGAACATTAAAAAAATCTGCCCAAAGTTAGGGGGTCGTCTAAACCACCACATATAAAATTCTTACCTCTTAAATATTGTGGTTTAGTGTGTCAAGAGTGGTGATGGAAACATCATAAGCCACTCACAAGGTCTTACCACTAATTATTTTATACTGAAACTTACGTTTGGCAAGCTGGATTCAAATTAAGATTACCGGTATATTAAAATAATAAAAATGTATTATAAACCTGTCTAACATACCGTAAAAGAGAATTATACCCCTGTAATAAACACAGCTATCATCACACACCCCTCCCCACGGCCCCCCCCCCATTTGCCAGTGAGGAGACAAGAAAGGGAAAGTGACCGCGAGATTGGGCTATTTTTAGCCGTGGAGGTGGTCAGTAATGCATATCGGTATATTTACTGATAATAATACTTATCTCTTATAAATAATTAATTTAAAATTTATTTTTTTACAAGGAATATTCAGTAAATGACTGCATTAATTCTTGAAACTACTGACAGTTAAATACAGACGCTTAAGTGACGTCACTAGTGTTTACATTACACCAGCTGGTAACATTTGATGCCATTACGTGAAGTGAATTGGCCTTATTTTAAGTAACTAACCATAAATAAATACAAAAAGTAAAAAAAAGATCAAAAGTGAGAAATAATATACTGTATGTATGTTGTGTTGTCAAAGTTAGAGGAACAATTGAAACTGCAATTGTGTGTAAATGAGGCAGAAAGTCAGGTCAGAGCTGAACCTGGGACTTGGTCACAATTTTCGTGATGCCATATGGCAGCAGGGTCTACCATTAGACAACACATTATGCTTCCAATATCTTCCCAGGCGGTAGTATCTACCTGTTTGGTAGCTGCCTACTACCTACACAATTTTTAGTAATATTACTTTGATACATGATAAATTAGACAATGAAAATAAACATCAAATTTAATTACCAAGACGCTTCCCATTGGCAGCTGTAAGAAGAGGGGGAGATCGGCTATTTTTATCCCGTCTTTGTGTCTGAAGTGGCCAGTAATACCATATATTTACTGATCATAATACTTATCTCCTATAAATAATTAATTTAAAATTTATTTTTTACATAGAATATTCAATAAATGACTTTTAAATAAATAAACAAATAATTCGGTAAATCTATTTCAAGTAAATGGAAAATAAGCAAACAAATGTTATTTACCACCACCCCTTCCCTCTGGCTCAGGGTGAGATAGAGGGGAGATAAAGAAGGCTATTTATAGCCGTCTTGTGTCTGAAGTGGCCAGTACCCTAATGCACCATAAATAATTCATTTAACATTTATTTTTTGTACATATATTTTGTTATATACATACATATATATATATATATATATATATATATATATATATATATATATATATATATATATATATATATATATATATATATATATATATATATATATATATATATATATATATATATATATATATATATATATATATATATATATATATATATTTCAAGTAAATGGAAAAATTTTACTCGACACAGACATTAGTTCCAGTTACCGGTAAATAGCAGACGCTTCAGTGACGTCACTAGTGTTTACACTACACCAGCGGGTAACATTTGATGACATTACTTGAAGTGAATTGGCCTTATTTTAAAAAACCAAGGATGGTTGGTAAAGGACTACTGAGTCAGTGGGTAAGTGTCACATTTGGGGTACTGGTCTTATACAGCGAATAGAGCTCAAAAGCTACTTTTTAAATGGAAATTTGGGGGGCCGTCTTATGCACCCCGACGCCTTATAGGCCGAGATATACGGTATTGATAATTTTTACAATGGTTGGGACTGGGCTGTTCTTATAGCGATCAGTTCGTGCACGTATGGGCTGGATGCGGTTGTGGTGTCGAACAGCAATTCTCGGACTAGGGATCTCAGGTGGTAGTAGGAGCCGGTGTCGAGGATGGTGTAGAAGCTTCTTACCAAATTTGCAGATGAGGTCGTGGTGATGGTCAGTGAGAGTCGAAAGGGTCAGTGTGTTGAGCGCTTCTTGATATGTGGAGTAGGAAGGAGAGAATAATCTTGCATGCCCTCTTTTGCACTTTTTCTAGGTGTTTACGTTGTGTGGCATTTAGGGAGGAAGACCAGGTGGGGAGGCATAGGTGAGCTTGGGAAGTATGAATGTTGAGTGTGTGTGTGTGTGTGTGTGTGGGGTGTGTGTGTGTGATGTTGGGATGTGTGGGGGTGTGTGGTGTGGGTGATGTGGGGTAAGGGTGGTGTTGGGGGTGTGTGTGGGTGGTACTGGGGGTTTGTGTGGGTGATGCTGTAGGGTGTGTGTGGGTGGTTGTTCGAGGGTGTATTTGTGTGTGATATAGGGGTGTATGTGTGGAGTGTGGGTGGTGTTCGTGTGTGTAGCACAGTGTGTGCAATTTGTGCCGATTGTTGTTGGCGGTAGTGAACCTTTGTTGGGGGTTTAGAGTATTAGGATTGTCGTGGTCAGTCCCCCCCCCCCCTCCTCATTCCAGCATGGCTAATTGTGATAGGGAGATGAATTTGATACCATAATGATCCTTAATAAATTCTACGAGATGATACCACGAAGATATCCTTAAACGAAATATTTTGATATGATATAGTGATGGGAATTCCATTGTTTTATAAAGAAAAAATTAGAAATGTTGATACCGGAGTCAGTACAATCTGTTCTAATTTCGTTAGACACAATTTTTTTATCAAAACAATACTGAATACTTTATCTAAAAGTTTAGGTAAATAAATACATTTATAAAAACAAAAGCTTGTAGGAGCTGCATTGATTTACGTAAACACCACTACACAATATTGTTCATACTGTTAACATAATAATGTATCCTCGTACTACTCTATATATTGTACTCACCAGCAGATATGTGATCTTTAGCCAAGAATAGGCAGACACTTCACTCAATTGACTGTAATACATAACTAGTCTCGTCTTCACACTTGTGATGAAGATTGGGTGGGAGATTATTGGGTCATGGTACTAACCTGACTTGATGCACTGTCAGGTCACCCATTGTTGGGTGGGGGATTAATGGGTCTTATGACCTAGAGATGTATTAAATGAC